CTCTGGTGGGGACAGCGAACAAGCTGGCGTGGGTGGGTTAAAATTGTTCAAGGTATTATTTGATTTTTCAATTTTTGACGGCGGATTTAATTTCGGGGATAATGATGTGGGAGAGGGAAAGGTCGTTGCCGCAAAGGAGGGTTTGTCGGTTTGAAAATTAATATCTTGTAACAGTGGATAATCGTTACTCATTTTCGAGGTCATGTTCTTCGAATCGTCAAATCGGGGTGCAATAGATTTCAACCTATTATTTAAAGGGTTGCCTACATCTGGCGCAGGAGGAAGTAAGATCGGCATTCCTGAAGGAGAATCGAATATTGGCATGGACATTGGCTTTTTGGGGGGAAGAGTCCATGGCGGTGGCAATGTCAAGTGCTCGGAGGATAATGTTGGCAATGAACCCAAACCTGGATGAGGCCTCGTCAATTCGGAATGGTTTCCGGGCAATGTATGGTCTTTTGGCGGCGAGGGGAATGATTCGAAGGATGTTATTGGTGGAAGAGAATGTACAGTATCAATGTCCGCATGCGATGAATCTTGATAAGTGTCCGAGAGGTGAACCCCGTTGGTCACATGATTTCTCTGCATAACTGGAGGGTATATGGGCACTGGTCGCCTCAAGATTGTTGTGGCTGTGTCAAACTCGCGTCCGAATCCTTGGTGCATCTCGGCAGAAACATCGTCTCGTGGATATGCATTTAGATTAATAGAGGCTTTTATTATTTAATTTTTTGGGGGGGAAGATGGTTTCATAAAAGGTCAATATTAAACATTACTCGGATAAAGAATCAAATTGTTTATTAATTGTTTGCGTAAAGTTTGTTGTTTACCATTTCTTTGTCGCGAGAAATTTGAATAATTCCTCGGAGCATTTGTGTAGTCCGTATCATCATCGATTATCACTATTGAGGCATTGGTAGGTGTAACTGAAGTCGGTCTTGCAGAACGGATAGGTTGACAAAAATTTTTTTTTGCCAACAAATCATCAAATGTGCCTTTGAGACTCGGATCCTTTTT